CACCAGTGCATGCGCCCGACGCGCAGCGCGGGCCCACTGAACCCTGAAGGGGAGAAGAGTCTCTGGAGTTGGGGTTTCGGTTCCGGCTCGCTAGCACCCCTCCCAATACTAGCGAGCCCTCCCATTTCCCGGCTTCTCCGGGCATGATTCACAGTGGTGACCTGTCTGGTCGCATTACAGGCAACATCCCTGGCGCAGACCCCTCTGCCTCTCCATCCTGGACAAGCGCGCCGCACCCAGCTGCTTAGCCTCCTCCTGAGGCGTCTCCTCCCTGAATCGGCGGAAAGCCTCCGGGCTGATAGGGGGACGCGGAGGCGCGCCTTGCATCATGCCTCTCTCGTGCTCCCTCTCACGACGCCGATTGTCTACCCGCACCAAGAGGTTGACGAGGCTGTCCAGTCACTCAGGCAGCTCCCTGAAGGAGAGTTCGTCCTTCATCCCCTCCGATAGCCCCTGAGCATAAAGGACGACCAGGGCGGCCTCCTCCCATCCTGCCTCTCGAGCCCGGGTCCGGAACTCCACGGAGTAGTCCGCTACCGAACGGTCACCCTGCTGACAGGCCGTGAGCCGCCTCCCGGCCTCATGCCCCGACACCACCAGAGAGGTGTCGAACACCTTGCGTAGCTCCCGGGTGAACAGATAGGAATCGGAGCACACCAGAGTTTGGCTCTCCCACTCCGCGGTAGCCCAGGAAAGGGCCCGACCCGTCAAGAGTGATAATGTAGGCCACCCGGCCCTGCTCCATCGGGAAGGAGGAGGGTTGTAGGCTGAATATCAGGGAACACTGGGTGAGGAATTCCCTGCAGCCCTCTGGACGTCCGTCATACCTCTCCGGAGGTGGTAGGTAGGGTTCCCGCAATGTCGCAGGCGAGACTGGAGACGCCGCTGCCGCGGCTTCTGTTCCGCCGGCTGCCGGTGCTGGTCGGGTGTCCACCCGGCTCTGCACGGCGATCGTCAGCTGATGATCTTCTGCGGTCATGCTGGTTCAGCATGGCTCCCTGCGTTGCCAATGTGCTATGATACTGTGCTGCCTCTGCTGGGTCCATAGTTGCTCAGTTTTCTGTAAGGGTTGGTGTGAGGTGTGACCCAGGTGCGGTGCAGGTTAGACAGTAGGCAGAGATGGTGAAACAAGGAACTTTACTGATGGTCCCGAAGCCAGGATACAAAATAACGGACTTTACACGAAAAAGAAAGGCGGAGCAAATAAGACTCCAAAAAACAGGCAGACAACCAAAAATATGAAATACTAACTATGACTGAAATAATAAACAGGGAGAACACTTCTCACGTACCTGTCAATACGTCACTCGATCAGACACTGATCAGTACTGCTTGGCATAGTGAAACTCGCAGAGAGAACTGAGCAAGGGAACACAGGGAAGTGAGGGCATAAATACACAGGTGAATCAGATAGACACAGGTGACACCAATAGGAAGATGATTAGTCCCAACTGTGAGTGAGGAGGTGCCTAAGGTTGTCGGAGGATGACACCTAGTGGGTCGCTCCGGAACTGCAACCCCTTCCTGTAACACATATCTAATCATACCACTCCAGTATCCCTGCACATTGTAAATATGGTATTGGCACTGACCCTGGAACTGACCCTGTATATAGCTTACTTACTTTTTTGTTCCACTTGACTTTTTAAAATGTATTTACTTATTTTATAGTACTACTGATATTGATTACTGGATTGATGGGAAAGAGCAAGTAGGAAATGCATTTCACTGTACTTGTGCATGTGACAATTAAACTTGAAATGTGAAAATAGACTTACAGTTACAAACTTAGTTATACATCTAATTAGACCTACTCATACAATTAACATTTCACAGTTATGTAAATTGATAGGGATACTCTGGCCATAGCAATGCAGAATCACTGACCACATTTACATGCACACCAAATATTCAGTTATTTTTCGGGATACTGAAGTATTCTGTGTTTGAGTTGACTCATATAAACATCATATCCCGTTTACAATAACCCGAAAAAGCTTGTATCCAGGTTATGAGATCCCCGGATAAGATGCTTAGGATATGCTGATCTAAGATGGGATACTGTGGCATGTAAAAGTCTTGTCCCGTTTACTGTTGTTTTTCGCGGTCTGCGCAGGCTCACTTTCACATATTATGGGCGTTGTGGTGATTGTTTTCATCTGCTTGTCAATCAAATCACTTCAAAAAGTAATCTACCGGCACAGTTCGATCCACCATAATAATTCCATAATAAATTAGCCTACTATAATTAATTTACTATCATTTAAATTAAGTTTCTGCTTATTATTTTCCTAAATTTGGTAGGTCATTATAATTTCCGACATTTCGTAGGCCATTTGTTTGTCAACTATAGTTTGATACATGCAGATTCTCTTCTGTCATAACGTGTTGCCCCTAAAGACTAAATAATGTAGAATAATGTCTGACATCGATAGAAGGAACGCATTAGTAATCTAGTTAACACTGGCAAAGTTGTCTGTTTCGTTTAGGGACCGGGAAGAAAATGCAATAACTCCAAAACAGTGGAAAGGTTGTTCCTGTGCAAAATGTCCAAATGCCATGAGTTTGACCGGTTTTAAGGAAATTAAAAGCTGATAAAACGAAGAAACACGCTTCCGATAAGACTTCAGCTCGTCTTGGTTGCATATGTTATGTGGTTGAAATACTGTCTGCTTGCATAACGTTGTCAAAAAATATACATTACACATGCATTCGTATTTTCTCAAGAGATGCTGAAAGAAATAAATAATATTTATCCACTCCTGTTACCGAGACAAAATTAACATTTGTTGTATAATTTCACTGCAAGAAATGAATAATTCTGTAGGAGATAATATTATATGCTACATGTGAGAGGTTATAGGCCTACAGTACAGTCAGTGTCCATATTTCAGTTACTATTCCATTTAACCCATATTAATTTAAATTAGGAATATTCTGTTTAATCATGGATACAGGGATACTCATTAGCGGGATATCAAAGGTGCATGTAAACAGTTTATCCCGAATAAGCCCATAAACGGGATATGAGCTACTATTCGAAATGCAGGTAAACGTGGTCAATGTGCAGACACACTCAGTCAATGTCTAAAGATGGCTCACAGTGCCAATCATGTGGTCTGGGGCGACACTTGGTGTCACAACTGGAAGTACAAGTGGACAATCAATCCACCTACTGAGACCATTCACATGAGGGAACGACAAGATCGTGTTCGTTAGGCACCAAACGGAAGAAAGCAAGGAGGGACTAACTGGAGTTGACCAATAAGAAACGCTTTTTTTCTTTTTCTGTTGGAAAATGTTTTAAATTGCGTGCCCTAATAAACACAATCCCGGTAGTGAGAGCCAGGAAAGGAGGGCCATGAAATGCAACATGATGACTACAGCAGGAATTCTCAATACTCTGCATCTCAAGGCCTGTTTGAAACACAGCTGCCTTCACAGCTCTGTTCATTCACTGAAATAGAAGAGTTCAATTCCATTCAAAACACTTTCTTTATCGCACAAGGAAATATTATTTTGGGCATAATTGAAATATTAGCCATGCCTGCTGTTTTCATTAAAACGTCTGTCTTTTAACCCATCTATAAACCAACATTTAACAAGACAAGGTGCATTTTCTTGTTTTATATCACACTGAATTTACTGATGGTTCACAAGTAGTGACTTGATTTGTGTGTGTGTGTGTTCTGGTGCATGTCTCAGCATCCTCCAGTTGTTGTGCAACATGAAGGAATGAAGAAGCCGTCATATTCGGTGTCTGGAGGCTTCAGGTACAATGTGATGACAAGCAAACAAATGTACACATACCAAGCACATAGTCACACACGATGAACAAGTAGGCATACAATACAAAATAGCATGTAGATAGAAGACATACACACACACATATAGACACACACTTACACCGTTCACAAATATGTACTAAATCGTGATGTATAGATGACATTCTCAGGCAGGTGAAAATTGCATTCCACATACTTTAGACAGTAGACAGGGTATAGAGACAGTGTGACATAATTTATAGCTCACGTACAGATTGATGGCTGAGACAAATATGTCAGAAGTTCACACAAATAACAAAATCAATTTAGATAAAAGACTGGGGCAATAATCATACACGCACACTATGTGCTGCCTTAAATGGTTGGTTTCTCTTAATGAAAACTGAAGTTTCGACAATATACCCACCTACATGGACTTTCTCATACGTTACCTCCGGAGTGGCTTGGAATGCGAATGATTTATACATGTTACGTCACTTCACCTGGTCAGGACATGTGTAACCAAGGAGTGCCTTCCTGTCGAAGAGATATCCTGCTCAATGCGCTGATGGGATCATTTTTACTTTTCCTCTGAGGACCAACTAGTGTTCTACGGGCAGACTGTATCCGCATTCCAGTTTATTGACTACGCCAGACATTTGGGTGTGGAGCAAGCCGGAAGTGGGTTGAAAAGGAAAGAGCTGAACCAAGCGGGCAGGGCATAGTGATTTTGAGACAGGGGAGGGAGAGACCGGACAGCAAATCCCTTGTCAAGGCAATTTAGAATTCATTCGTTTGAATGAGCTTAAATTATAACCGCGTGCAACTGAAATAATTCGCCCCATTTTCCACAGCGGAAGCCAATGAATTAGGACTGCTTGCCACGTCTGTAGAAAAATAACATATTTGCTGCTTCCTGGCTAATGATAGCTGCAGAAAGTATTTAAACCATCCAACAGGATTAGGCTACTTTGAAAACACGAATTTTCGACGAAATTAGGTTAGACCAGTGTCAATTGTAAGTGCGTTATTGAGTGTCCCTGCTGTTTGGAGGAAGAACGCATATTCCCACGCCACTAGCCTACAACAATCAACGTTTGACCATTTTGGCAGGGCGTTGCTGCTTTTTTTTCTCTCGTTCTGGAGCACTCGTACTGGAGTAGAAGTTCTAAGAAACTTTTTAAAGAAGGGGGAAAAAACTAACTAGGCCTAGCCCACTCTCACAAACACAAGAAAATGTCTGGAAACAACAGCATCGACGCGGTTAAGCGAAAGATAAAAGTTTTACAGCAACAGGCAGATGAAGCCGAAGAGCGAGCTGAACTTCTTCAGAGACAGGTCGAGGTGGAGAAAACATCAAGAGAACAGGTAAAATGATATTTTAGAATCATCCATAGAAGTTCCCTTATTTTTTTATTCTCGGCATTTCGACAAGATTCGATCTACGACGTGCGCTGATAGGCTACATTGTTTCTTTTTTTAAAGTACACTGGGACTGGGTCGTCATTCATGCAATTAACATTTTACACCTCCGCCCAACAAGGAGCCTATTGACATGGGACTTTTCGTAGCAGGTTTGGGCAGTGGTACCCAACCGTTTTCTGTTACTGTACCACCAACAACATTTTACTCTGCCGGAGTACCCCTGAAGTATCCTCTCGTGTATTTTACCAGTAGATTTATGGGATCATGAGTCTTAGGGCAAGTCATAGTACCGCTGGTTGGGAGCCACAGAGTTAGGAGAGCATTTTCGCTAAACCTTTTCCTAACCTTAACCTAATTCTCCTTACCTGCTACGAAAACATCATTTCCGGTCGTAGCTGTATCGAAGTGAAGTGTTTTTATGGAATCTCCTATTGACATTGACACATCAAATGGGGTGTGTATTATTGAATAGCATTACGAAGGCATTGTTAGTGGAAGGTTTTGAGCAATATGGGTGGGGACTTTTCGACCAAATGATTGAAGTCATTGAGGGACTGGAACTTAAAGTAACTGTCTGGATATGACCTGTAATTGATTACAATATGGGTGAAATAGTTTTTCTTCCAAAAATTGTAATTATGTTTGTTAAAAGCAGCTTTTCTGTGTTGGAATGGTATGGGCATATACATATCATTCAAAATATTAACACAATTAGACTGCTAATTGGCCAGCTCATCCTCCTCGGGAGGATGATGACATCCTCTGTCTGAGGAAATGGCAAGCATTTAATTTTTTACTTTCTGTTTGAGATACAAGTTCGAAGTAGGGATTTTGAAGTGTTTTTCCAATTTATGCTTTGGCCACATACGAGTATCGGCTGAGTCATCAACGTTATTTGGGTATGAGTTAAAGGAAAGTTAGATTTTCACAGGACATGTACATTAAGCCAAATATACTGAGGGGATTTGATAAGTGAACCGGGTTAGTGTTAATTGCATTCGTTTTGAAACTGGGCTGCCTCCTGGACTTGTGCTAGGTGCCCAGTTTTGGCCGATGGCGAGGTCTGCTCAAAACAAATGTGACGTAGGTTAAGCACGTGGAGTAATGAGTAGGATTCTGTTTTCAAATGCAAAAGTGATTGCTTTTGATAAAATGGCTTTATCTGCCTTCCCAATGAAAACTAGTTTGAAAACGCAAACATATATTTTCAGTGTTTCCCCTATATGCATTTAGCAGAGGCACGCCACTAAAAAAGTAAACTCAGCAAAAAAAGAAACGTCCTCTCACTGTCAACTGCGTTTATTTTCAGCAAACTTAACATGTGTAAATATTTGTATGAACATAAGATTCAACAACTGAGACATAAACTGAACAAGTTCCACAGATGTGACTAACAGAAATTGAATAATGTGTCCCTGAACAACGGGGGGGTCAAAAGTAACAGTCAGTATCTGGTGTAGCCACCAGCTGCATTAAATACTGCAGTGCATCTCCTCATGGACTGCACCAGATTTGCCAGTTCTTGCTGTGAGATGTTACCCCACTCTTCCACCAAGGCACCTGCAAGTTCCCGGACATTTCTGAGGGGAATGGCCCTAGTCCTCACTCTCCGATCCAACAGGTCCCAGACGTGCTCAATGGGATTGAGATCCGGGCTCTTCGCTGGCCATGGCAGAACACTGACATTCCTGTCTTGCAGGAAATCGCACACAGAACGAGCAGTATGGCTGGTGGCATTATCATGCTGGAGGGTCATGTCAGGATGAGCCTGCAGGAAGGGTACCACATGAGGGAGGAGGATGTCTTCCCTGTAATTCACAGCGTTGAGATTGCCAGCAATGACAACAAGCTCAGTCCGATGATGCTGTGACACCACCCCAGACCACGACGGACCCTCCACCTCCAAATCGATTCCGCTCCAGAGTACAGGCCTCGGTGTAACGCTCATTCCTTCGATAAACGCGAATCCGACCATCACCCCTGGTGAGACAAAACCGTGACTCGTCAATGAAGAGTACTTTTTGCCAGTCCTGTGTGGTCCAGCGACGATGGGTTTGTGCCCATAGGCGACATTGTTGCCGGTGATGTCTGGTGAGGACCTGCCTTACAACAGGCCTACAAGCCCTCAGTCCAGCCTCTCTCAGCCTATTGCGGACAGTCTGAGCATTGATGGAGGGATTGTGCGTTCCTGGTGTAACTCTGGCAGTTGTTGCATCCTGTACCTGTCCAGCAGGTGTGATGTTCGGATGTACCGATCCTGTGCAGGTGTTGTTACACATGGTCTGCCACTGCGAGGACGATCAGCTGTCCGCCCTGTCTCCCTGTAGCGCTGTCTTAGGCGTCTCACAGTACGGACATTGCAATTTATTGCCCTGGCCACATCTGCAGTCCTCATGCCTCCTTGCAGCATGTCTAAGGCACGTTCACGCAGATGAGCAGGGACCCTGGGCATCTTTCTTTTGGTGTTTTTCAGAGTCAGTAGCTTCTTTTAGTGTTCTAAGTTTTCATAACTGTGACCTTAATTGCCATCTGTAAGCTGTTAGTGTCTTAACGACCGTTCCACAGGTGCATGTTCATTTAATTGTTTATGGTTCATTGAGCAAGCATGGGAAACAGTGTTTAAACCCTTTACAATGAAGATCTGTGAAGTTATTTGGATTTTTACAAATTATCTTTGAAAGACAGGGACCTGAAAAGGGGACGTTTCTTTTTTTGCCTAGTTCATATATATATTTTGCGTGGTGATGCCAGGTTTCCTCTAGACGTGACGCTTGGCATTCAGGCCAAAGAGTTCAATCTTGGTTTCATCAGACCAGAGAATCTTGTTTCTCATGGTCTGAGAGTCCTTTTGGTGCCTTTTGGCAAACTTCAAGTGAGCTGTCATGTGCCTTTTTACTGAGGAATGGCTTCCGTCTGGCTACTCTACCATAAAGGCCTGACTGGTGGAGTGCTGCAGAGATGGTTGTCCTTCTGGAAGGTTCTCCCATCTCCACAGAGGAACTCTGGAGCTCTGTCAGAGTGACCATCAGGTTCTTGGTCACCTCTCTGACCAAGGTCCTTCTCCCCCGATTGCTCAGTTTGGCTGGGCGGCCAGCTCTAGGAAGAGTCTTGGTGGTTCCAAACGTCTTCCATTTAAGAAGGGAGGCCACTGTGATATCATGTTGCGATTGACCAATCAAAGCTCATAATAGCTTCCAGCCCCTACTGGATTGGCTCACCTAGCATGCTTGCTAGGACCGGCATAAGGGCGACGCTAGCATGGCTATCCGAATGATCGTGTTCAGTGGATAAGTACTGTCTCTCTCATTCGCAATGTGTTCTGTCCCTCCCTTCCTCTCTGTGTCTGTCTGCCGGCCCCACAGGCTTGCCCTGGCAATTACCAGCTGAAAGTTAATTCTGTTCGATTTGAAACCAGGCTACCTCCCGGGCGTGAGCCAGGTGCCCCGCTCTGTCCAACAGCGAAGTCGGCTCAAAACAAAAGTGAATTATTTAAGCATGTGTAGTAATAAGTAGGATTCTGTATTTTCACATGCAAAAGTGATTTGATAACGCTTTATCTGCCTCCCCAATAAAAACTAGTTTGAAAATTCTAACATTTATTTTATGGAAAACCTGGGCCAGCGTAATAGAACTCCCTCACTGATAACACGCAGCTGTAGGCACAATTGATTGTGGTCATTGTAGTTAATTGCCACATTTTCTCCTCTTAACTACTACAAATATTGACCTGTTGAAAACTACACCTTCCTACATCGTCCCACAGTTCATGATTGATAGAGAAACGGTGCGTTGAGCTCACAGAAAAAAAACGAACAAAATGCAATTGAAATAATTGAACCGACGTCGGTCAATTTAGTTATTTAAAACCCCCAAATATACCTGAATTTGGCTAATCGCTCAGCACTAGTTAAACCGTGATTTGTAATGAATATCCTTATGTACCATTAAGAAGGAAATTGATCCACCTCACATTACACATAAAGCGTGGTAGGCCTACAGTTATAGAGTAGAGGATCCCTTTAGCTTATAATATAAAATATAATAATATAATATGCCATTTAGCAGACGCTTTTATCCAAAGCGACTTAGTCATGCGTGCATACATTTTTTTTTTGTGACATGGCTATTCAGTGCCAGATTCTGTCATTTAGCCACTGTAGGCTACTTCCACCTTTCGCGTGTCAATGTTTCCGTCTCTCTCGTCTGTCCATCTATGGCTATCTATTTTCTCCTGTTATCTGCCTTTTCTCCTATGTATACCTGGGTACACTGGCAAATTGTTATAGCTGCTCTAGAGACATCTTCAATGGTGGTTAACCATGGATAAAACTAACAAACAATTGGTAGGATAAAATAAATGCAGATTCCCCCCCAAAGTCACAGATGTTGCATAGTTGCAATGTTGTTACACTGAACATAACCAGTGTACTGGATGGATGTGTGTGTGTTGAGAAAATCAAGGTGAATAAATGGCCATCTGACTGGAACATTGTGTCTAGCCTCTTACATGATGCAATGTTAAGTGCTTTGAGCACTAGAAAAAGCACTATAGAAAGCCTATCTATCGTGGCATATATAGTACATCATTGTTTGTAGGTTCTAAGAGGGGTTGGGGTCAATTCCATTTCAATTTGAGAAGTATATTGACATTTAGCCTAACTCTTTCTCTTCTCCCCCTCCCTGATACAGGCTGAGGCTGAAGTTGCTTCCCTGAACAGGCGTATCCAGCTGGTTGAGGAGGAGTTGGACAGGGCCCAGGAGAGACTGGCCACCGCTCTGCAGAAACTGGAGGAGGCAGAGAAGGCTGCAGACGAAAGTGAGAGGTCAGTGGGACACACCCACAGCGCACATGAACAAAGAGGGGAAAAGAGGCCCCCACACTAATTCTCCAAACGCCACAGTTTAAAGGGATACTTAGTGATTTTGGCAATGAGGCCCTTTATCTACTTCCCTAGAGACAGCTGAACTAGTGGATACCATTTTTATATCTGTGTCCAGTATGAAGGAAATTAGAAGTAGTTTCGCTAGCCAATGCTAACTAGCGTTAGCGCAATGAGTGGAAGTCTATGGGTATCTGTTAGCATGCTACAACATTTATTTAGTCTTGCCCGCGTTAAGTACGAGTTATAAACGAACCAGGGCTTTCTGTAAGGCAGCAAGCTCAGATTGCAGCTCTAACATAGCCTGGTCAACTGTTGGAAATGGCATACAGTACCTAAGTGTCATCTGCATAAACTTATATACACTTGTACATGTGTGAAATAGGACAAATATAAGCACCCACCAACATTATTATTATAAAAGGCCTTATGCAGCAATGGAAGCATAACTTTTTAACATGAAGTAAGACAATATCTTGAAAAGAGGGGTCTTGGCCTCAGTCATTATGGTCTAAACCAGGGATGGGCAACTGATGGGGGTGGGGGCACAAAAAACCCCCCCCGCGAGCAAAACAGTAAGTTGAGACCCTGACTGAGTTTTCTTAGCTTTTTTTTTGTTATGAGATTGGTCCGCGGGCTGCCAGTTGCCCATCCCTGTTCTACACCTCATTAGTTTGTCTTTGTTATTGGACAGGAAGTGAAAGCACATGGGCGCAACGATGGCACAGACAAAAAGGGAAACGCATCTGTTTAGATCTTCCCCTCAAATATGATGATGAGAGGAAGTCCAGTGGCGGGAAGTGGAAGAAGATGGAGCTAGATTAAACTTGGCCGACATTCTGCTAATTTTGTCATTGATTAAACTTTCTGTAACAAAAAAGTTACGGAGTGCGCTAAGTTTGCATTAGTTTTAAAAAATGTTGTTTAGGAGTGCAAGGGCGAAATGAGTTATTGCACACGTGTACTTCAGACAAGGCGTTCCCTAACGGAAATATGCAAACACATGCTACAACGCACCAATAGGATCTCGCTAACTTGTGCTTGGCTCTTCCCTCCTCCTTGCTTGTTCTGCCCACTGTGCTTCAGTTGCTCCTGATGCCAATTGATGAATCTTGGGTTAGTTACCAGTATCTTTGATGATAGTGTGTGTGTAGTCTCCCGAGTGGCGCAGTGGTCTAAGGCACTGCATCGCAGTGCTAGCTGTGCCACTAGAGATCCTGGTTCGAATCCAGGCTCTGTCGTAGCCGGCCGCGACCGGGAGACCCATGGGGCGGCGCAGAATTGGCCCAGCGTCGTCCAGGGTAGGGCAGGGATGTAGCTCAGTTGGTAGAGCATGGCGTTTGCAACGCCAGGGTTGTGGGTTAAATTCCCACAGGGGGCCAGTATGAAAAATAAAAAAATTATGTATGCACTCACTAACTGTAAGTCGCTCTGGATAAGAGCGTCTGCTAAATGACTAAAATGTAATGTAAAATGTTTGGCCTCGCTATCTCCACATGAGTCAATGGCCCAGTCACTAATGTTAATTGATTGGATGTGTCTTTCTCTGATGCTCCCTCCCTGAGTGTGTGTGAAATGTAGAGTCACATGCTGCTGACAGTGTGCAATGATAAGAGTGTGTTTAGTTTGACAAATATCCAAAGTCTAATATCGAGAATTGGTTTATTAACACAAAATGGTACGCTGTTATGATAGGATACATATAATGTACGTTTCAATACCAAATGATACAATACATCTAACGTGTGTGTGTGTTGGTTCCAGGGGCATGAAGGTGATTGAGAACAGGGCCCTGAAGGATGAGGAGAAGATGGAGCTACAGGAGATCCAGCTGAAGGAGGCCAAGCACATTGCTGAGGAGGCTGACCGCAAGTACGAGGAGGTGAGGATATCGCACGGACACACACACGGCAGACTTCACACACACACTGCAGGGTCCTCCTCAGAATGAATAGAATTTCCTGCTGTGCCTGAACTATCCTCGGATAGTTGAGCAACATTGCTGAGGAAAGGTAATAATGTATGTGTGTTGAAATTGGTGCGATCATGTACATACACAATGCTTCAGTACTGCCTCATATGCACGCACACGGACACAATGAGGTAACGTCCTCATCCTCAACATCGAGACACAGAAGTGGACATAATCGCATACATTTCTTCTCACGCAAGGCTGTAAGCTCACTAGTACAGTTTTGGCCAAGATGTACCCAATTTATAGCCACCATGGGCGTCTCTCCTCATACTTCACCTGGACACCATCTGCGGCAATCTTGTGAGCAATTGTTTCCGTCTGCCCTCTTGTGCAACTGGCAGCAAATAATTCTGTGTGTGCATCTACAGGTGGCTCGTAAGCTGCTGATCATCGAGGGGGATCACGAGCGCACAGAGGAGAGGGCAGAGCTTGCTGAGGCGTAAGTGGCCGTCCACATGATTGAACTGCACAATAGTAAAACACACACGTATACACAACTACACTAGTGGTACGTTAACAACACTTATTCCACACGGCGAAATATGATTCTGTCAAATAATTTAGTTATACTGACATTTTCCCCCAAGGGAATGTAGACATCTATTGCACATAGAATACGGTATAAAATGTTACATGTACAGCATTGTAGCTCTGTCATAAACATACTCTTGTCACAACTACACAATGCAGAATGCGAACATACATTGTGACGTCTCATTTGGATTATATTTGAACTATATTCGAACAATTCCCAGTCTACATCATCACAATGCCTGGGTCAAATGCATTGTTAGGGGTTCAAGCAGCAAAGCTAGGCCACACCCTCTCATGCAATGCCATGTCAATTGGCCACATGGTGACGCTATAACAAGCGATTGAAGATGCAAACATTTAAAGGTCATGCCCCTCATCCCGTTTTGAGCTAATGTGGGTAGCATCTCAAACAACATGGCTGCTACTGACCAATAAACATTCAAGTGGTCTTGGCCTGGCACATAAATGCATATAAATCAGACACAATATTCGTATTGTAACATCTTGATAGACATGTTCCAAACACTGTCAAGACTCAATGTAAGCACATTTAAATTGACCACAGTGGCGCTATAACGGGCACTTATTTATTGCTCTTGATCTGTTTTGACTATCTTGATTGCTCTTGATCTGATTTAAATTTGGCGCACTCAGGGATGAGTCTAGCTAACCTGTAGAGTATGGTTATCTTTGGCTGCATGGTGGCACTGTTGGACAGGAAAAACCTTAATGCATGTTCATTGGCTTATAGCGGCCATATTGTTTGAGCGAGAGTCTTGGAAAACATAGCGTTTTAAAGATGTGCATCCATAGATGCTATATACCAAGTTTGGAGTCGAGCGGTTCTGGAGAAGACGTTTAAAGTAGTCAACGTTATTACAAATGGTCCAAAATTCATAATCAAAAACATTTTGCTTGATCTGTTTGATGTTGTGTTCTGATATTTGGCAAGCGTGGTAAAAACTACAGAAGTAGCAAATCCTATGGCGATCTGTCCAATTTGTCCTGATGGTGGTACTGTGAGGCCATAGCTTGAACCCCGCCATGGCTGCTTGAAACTATATTTGTTTGCACTTTTGGGACTGTTCCATTGTATCGGACCAACAAAATCAAGCGCAGCTCATGTTTTTTAAAGTATTTGATACGGTTCTGCATTATACCAGTCCCACTGCCGGTATCATCCCAAATCTGCCCCATCCTCACTGTTCCCACGGCCATGAGAATAAACTTGTGTGTTTGCATAACAATGGTTCTGTATCCTAATGAATAAATGCCCTCCTCCCCCATCTGTCCGTCTCTGCATGTTTCTGTGGGTCCAACCTAAATTCCACGCATGACCCCCCCCCACAATACGCCCCCGCTCCGCATGTATGTGACTCCGCACCCTCCCTGCACTAACAGCAAAGCCAGGGCCCTGGAGGAGGAGCTGAGGGGTTTCGACCAATCGCTGAAGTCCCTGCAGGCCTCTGAAGACCAGGTAGTGTGTGTTTGTGTGTCTGTGGAGTGAATTCAGTGCCTTCAGAAAGTATTCATACTCCTCGACTTATTCCACATTTTGTTGTCTTACAGCCTGAATTCAAAATTGAATAAATATAATTTTTTTCTCACCCATCTACACACAGTACCCCATAATGACAAAGAGAAAATATGCTTTTAGAAATGTTTGCATATTTAATTTACATAAGTATTCACACCCCTGAGTCAATACATGTTAGAATCACATTTGGTAGAGATTACGGCTGTGAGTCTTTGCACACCTGGATTGTACAATATTTGCACATTATTATAAATTCTTCAAGCTCTGTCAAGTTGGTTGTTGATCATTGCTAGACAGCCATTTTCAAGTCTTGCCATAGATTTTCAAACAGATTAAGTCAAAGCTGTAACTAGAACACAATGTGTATATTTGCCTTTTTGTTTTAGGTTGTCCTGCTGAAAGGTGAATTTACTCCCAGTGTCTGTTGGAAAGCAGACTGAACCAGGTTCTTTCCTTCAGGATTTTGCCTTTGCTTAGCTCTATTCTGTTTATTTTTATCTTAAACGCTCCCTAGTCCTTGCTGATGACAAGCATACCCATCACCATGCTTGAAAATATGAAAGGTGGTACTCGGTGATGTTGTTTTCTCCAAACGTAACGCTTTGTATTCAGGACATAAAGTAACATTTTTTGCAGTTTACTCCAATAATGCAAACAGGATGCATGTTTTGGAATATTTTTGTAAAAGCTTTCTTTTTCATTTAGGTTAGTATTGTGGAGTAACTACAATGTTGTTGATCACATCCTCAGTTTTCCCCTATCACAACCATTAAACTCTGACTGTTTTGATGTCACCATTGGCCTCATGGTGAAATCTCTGAGCGGTTTCCTTCCTCTCCAGCAACTGAGTTAGGAAGGGCGCCTGTATCTTTGTAGTGACTGGGTGTATTGAAACACCATCCAAAGTGTAAGTAATAACTTCACCATGCTCAAAAGGATAGTCTGCTTTTTGTTCTTTTTTTTTACCCATCTACCAATAGGTGCCTTTTGCGAGGCATTGGAAAACCTCCCTGGTCTTTGGTTGAATCTGTTTTGAAATTCACTGCTCGAATGAGGGACCTTACAGATAATTGTATGTGTGTGGTACAAAGATGAGGTAGTCCTTCAAAAATCATGTCAAACACTTATTGCACACAGTGAGTCCATGCAACTTGTGACATGTTAAGCACATTTTTCCTCCTGAACTTATTTAGGCTTGCCATAACAAAGGGGTACTTATTAACTCAAGACATTTCAGCTTTTCATTTTTAATTAATTTGTACACATTTCTACAAACATAATTCCACTTTGACATGGGTTATTGTGTGTAGGCCAGTGACACAATCTCAATTTAAACCATTTTAAATTCAGGCTGTAACACAACAAAATGTGAAAATCAAGGGGTGTGAATACTTTCTGAAGGCACTGTGTTGTTCAAATGCCTATACTTCAGTGTGAGTGTGTATACTGAAAATGAGGTGTGTGTGTATAGGGTGTCTACCCACTCTGCCCACAGTGGCTGAAAACAATATTTGGTGATGACATTTCACTTCCTTATGTTATAAAATACATTTTACCAAGACAAATATGATTATTCATGTTTGAATCATTCAGTGGGGTCTTTCTGTAACATATCATTAACATTTGTATCCAATAAGTCAGATTTCGTAACCTAATACATCTGATAATAATCACAGAGCTCTGTTGACATAGCATTCAGGTTTCTTAACTTTTGAGGATTCTACATTTTGGTTGTCATCTTCAGTTGTTTCTGCGGGTCGCAAAACTAGCATGACACAAGCTGAATTAAATGTAAAGGCTTTGAAAATAATAAGCTCAGTGCTCCGTTGACATTTCAGAGATACGCTTGTTTTTGTGAGAAATCTTCTAAAAACAGGAATTTCTAATTAATATGAAAAGCGTCTACTAAAATATGAAAATGATACATGTCATGTCTCAATCTATATCCATCTTAGCTCTGTTTTATGTCCTGCTGATTCGAGAAGAAAGATGAGTTTAACGGTCAAAGTGAGCCTGTCAGGTAGTCGGTAGCTTTAGTTCTTGCACAGAATCCAGCCTACCTGACGCAATGCTATTTTCCTGATTTTTATTTATTTATTATTAACTCCAATAACTTATGATAGAGACATAAGGTTTGGACCATTTGTTTTTTTCTCAGCGGATTATCTACACAATTAACATTATTTTACCCATTGGTAAAAATCATGTTTTTGATTGGACACCCTACTGTTTATGTGTGTTTGGGGAATGTGCCTATACTTCATGGTGTGTAAGAGAGAAAAAAGTGTATGAGAGTGTGTTCATGCTCAACTGACTAGATGTGCTCTAGTGTAATATACCATTGGTAGAAAATCAGTCTTGAGATTTATGGATATAGGAACTATTTATAGTTAAAAGATCTCAATAGGTGGACATAGAAAGTATTTTCTGTGTGTGAGTGAGGAGGAGAAAGAAGTAATCAGAATCGTGGCCTCAGGACAAACGGGTGGTCCTCTTTGTATGACTCCAGGACTCCAACCTCTCCTTCTTTTCAGTATCTGCCTTCTCTCCTTGACTCGCGCTTGCCTCCATTTCCCTTCCCTACTCTTTTTCTCAACCTGTGTTTGCATGAAATCCAGTGTGCGTGTTAAGGAAGTGACATCCTACTGCTCTAAAGTCGATGGGAGAGTTCGCGTTGTGTTTAGTAGGATGGAAAATGGGTGATGCTATGTGAACTCATCCAGTAAGAAACACTTTGCTACGGTGTGCCCTACTGAACACAATTAAGAATTGACTCATGAGAACTCGAGCATGCACAACTCACTCTTTTCAATGCCCTTATAAGGACATCTCCAGCCTAACGCATGCCGTTCTAACGACAGTGAACATTGCTCGTATAGCTTGTCTTTGGTTAAGGATGTTCTACTGATTTCCTGTTGTGACGTGGGCTCACTTTAATATGGAGATATGGTAGTGTCAAGGGTCTGTAACCGCTGCGGTTTGTGGTTAGCCTCATCTCTGCCGTTTCTCTGTCATAAGGCACTCATTCTTTGTGTTTCCTAATCATCTACTCCACACTCCTCCCAACTCCATTTGTCATCTCTCACCATCAATTATCTTAAACCGTATTGCCAATGTTTTCACACTGCTACTCTTTCCTTCCTCTTTTCACTGCTCCACCCTCTGCCCTCGTCGCCTACTGTGTCATCTCTCCTTGTCTTCTCGTTCTCTTGAAACAAACTCAATGGCGACCTCCCCTCAAATCCAGTAAATGTGCTGAGCTGGAGGAGGAGCTGAAAAATGTCACCAATAACCTTAAGTCCCTGGAGGCCCAGGCGGAGAAGGTAGTGTGTCTGTGTGTTGGTATTTTACATGGTTGTATGAACCTCAGATTAAACCAGCATGTTACCTGTGTGGGCATGTTTTTTTGTGACTGTATACATCTCTGAGGAAGCGATTTTTTTAAGTATTGTGTGTTAATTTATTTGCCTTTGCAGTTGGTGTGTACTGTATACTGTACCTGTTTATCTGTGTGCAGCATTTGTATTTGAGAGGACAGCTGCTGTATTCACCCTTAACAAGGGTTCTGTATTGACTCTGCCTTGAACAACATTGGCAGTGTGTGTGTGTGTAGTCCATATCCAGATACCTCAGGCACTTACCCTTGGGTTAATTGGTCTGTGTAGTTAATTTCCCTTTGGCGTTTACCACCATTCCAGTCTTGAATACCCCCTACCTCTCCCAGACAACCATTCTTGTCATCAATGCCCTTTACTGCCTATGTTTATAATTTCTAGAAAGGTCACACTTGCATGAGGCATTGAGTTCCTTCAATCTCCATATTTCTGATTGGACCGAAGGCCTGCATGGACAAACACCCCCATACTAAGTTAAGGGTTTGGTCTAATATAACATAGAGAACAAAATGTTACTCTTAATGGCTCTCATTACATTGAAGAGGCAATGGTGCCATAATGACTTGTTCCTTTGCACCACATTTGTAATCGGTATCCTTCAATGACACTGCAGTGGAATACAGATGAAAACTTCCTCCAGGGCTATGTTCATTAGGCACCAAACAGAAAAGACTAAAACAGGAGAGGCTACCAGGACTCGTTTTCTGTTGCAAAACGATTTGACGTTTTCCATTGCGTGACCTAATGAACACAACCCAGGTTTATGATTGTTCCCTGTACATTCCTACATATGGATGTCCAGATCTGCTCAGAGCAGATGCACTGTAAACATCCCTGCAAGCAAAGTTGCTTTAGTGTTGTTTTAAAGTTGCTTTAATGGTTAGATCAGTGGTATTCTACTTCCATCTTTTATGGACAGTAGTGTTCTCGTATTCCTCCATTTGTTTCACCAGTGGCAGATTTAGTCCCGGGAAACCAGTGGCCAGTCCTATGGGGAAAATGTTTCAGAACTTTGTCAATAGAAATGTTTTGCATAAGAATGCTTCAAATGACTATCTACAGTTTTTTGTTTGTTGGTACATTTCTATTTACAACATCCTGAACGTTTCACTCTACACAACACTCATCGGATATGTATTTTCTTTCTAGCCAATCAGTGATTGGGCAATTGAGACACTGTGATCCAACCATATTCAAGGCCCCACCCAGAATTGAAATCTCAGCAAGAATTCTGGGATCTCTAGAGCTGTAGATAGATGGATGAATTAAGTTAACCACTGAAGGAGCCAAGTCACACGTGCTGTTGACTTCACAGGGATTGCCCTTGATATTGAACTAATTTGGCATGCATTATAATTGCATGTTCTTAGGAATCCTTCTATTGCAGCATTGACACACTGTTTTTTACATGAGATTGAGGTCATGTCATTTTATTTTTTGGTGTGTGCATGCTCTGCTTTAAACTGACAATCCTCTATTTTCTACTACAGTATTCCCAGAAGGAGGACAAGTATGAGGAAGAGATCAAGATCCTGACCGACAAGCTCAAAGAGGTAAGTGGATAACCTGTAGAGCAGTGATCATCAACTAGATTCAGACGCGAGCTTATTATTATTATTATTATTATTATTATTATTATTATTATTATTATGTTTAAATTGTTGAAGTTTTTATTTAGCGGCTGGTCGGGGCCAGAAAATAATTACAAATAATTTGTAGTTTGCAAATTGACCGCAAGAAGCCCTAAGATGTAAAATTTGACTAAAACATAATATTTTCAAACCTTGCTTTACATTTGTATATGATCACATTCGGTGAGCTCCAAGTATTGGGACAGTGACCCACGCACAAATATCATACCCCCTAAAATGCTAACCTCCACTGTTTTTGCAAAGGTGAGAGGTTAGTAGTGCGTCTAACCTTCTCACTCATTATTATTATTATTATTATTATTATTCACGATTTATTCAGGACTATCCATAATCATGGTAGCATCCACATTAATGTAGAAGTGTTTAGAAATGTATTCTATTCTTATTTACAATAAAAGTGACTCCAAAATGACACTACATTATTTACCATTCATTTCTATTGGGCACAAAATTATCTGAAACACAACCAAAACAAATGGCAAATGCATCCAAGTTTGTAGAGTCACAAGCTTGATGTAATCATTGCGTGCTGGGAATATGGGACATATAAGTGAATTTGTCCCAATACTTTGGTCCCCCAAAATGTGGGGACTATGTACAAAAAGTGATGTGATTTCTAAATGGTTCACCAGATATGAATAAAAAATACCCTCAAATTAAAGATGACGGTCTGCACTTTAATCTCATAGTCATTGTATCATTTCAGAGCCAAAACAATTCACTGTCCCAATACTTTTGGAGCTCACTGTATATCTCTATGCGAGGGAATACTTTGGAACAGATTTCCAAAATTAAAATCACTTGGAGCTGCGTGTGTTTTTACTATCTTATGTCCCAACAATAAAATAATATATTGCGACGCCAGTTGGGGAACCCTGACTTAGAGAATGAAAAAAGCCTACTTAGTTCGGTAGATATAATTGCAGATGGTTGACACTTTCACAAGCGAAATTCAGGGAAGGCCATCTTTTGTTTGTTTTTGTCTGACATCTGTGTTGACATGTCCCTGAAATGTCCCCTTGTAGTATCTTGTGTGGCGTCTGGGGTGTTTTTTTTTTTTTTCCTTTTGTTTTTTTTTCCAAGGTTTCGTCTGAGATATGTTTGATAGTATTTAATTGATGTTTTTTTTTTGTTTCCGATCTGTTTGTCTGGATGTCTCCTTTGTATTTTTCTTTGTCTTGCTCATTGCATTTGTTTGGTCTAGTCACCTTTTTGTTTATTCACAAAGTGAGGTTAGTTTGGTTCAATTCCTTTTGTAGTCTCTCCAAGTTAACATATTTAATCTAGGTCATCTAGGTTTTAGTAGTTTCTTGATTGATTGCTTTGTTTTGACTTATTTTCTTAGGCTGAGACTCGTGCTGAGTTTGCTGAGAGGTCTGTGGCCAAGCTGGAAAAGACCATAGATGATCTGGAAGGTAGGATCCAGCCGCTTTGCCTTAAAACTCCTGTATTTCCCAATGCACCGTCTATGGAAAAAGTCCTGTTCTGGCTTAATCAGACTATTATTTTAGCATACATCACTTTCCCTTGGGCTGTTTCCCTCGCTCTCTCCTTATCTTCTCTTTGCCTCCTTTTCTTCTTCCTCTTTTTCCCTTCACTCTTTGGCCTCTCCGTGAACAGATGAGCTATATGCACAGAAACTCAAGTACAAGGCCATTAGCGAGGAGTTGGACCACGCCCTCAATGACATGACCTCCATGTAAATACGGGCTCGCTGTGTGTGTGGTTGTCGTGCAGGGACTGTGGAGTTTGACTGAGTAAATCTAATATTCCTCTAACACTGCACTGAAGTCAGGGGGTCAGGAAAAACACCTGACTCTATAACACATCCCCTAACATCCATGTAGTGTGTTCATGTTTCTAAAGAGATGGCCGACCGTGACCAAACTACAACATGCAAAAGCAAAGCTTGAGTCATGCAACAAAAACTGCCAACCAACACTGGATTTATACTTTAAAAAAAAAATTGTGATTGGAAAAATATCTAAGTGTGATATGAGTGGTGTGACATTAAAAGGTGGTTCATGAAGTCTAATAACCGAATAACTGAATGCTTGCAATTTTACCTGTCAAGAGTCGGTGATACCCAATGGCTACTAATCGTCACAATGTAATGATTCTCAGAATCTGTAGTCACGGTTTCTCAACCCCTCTGTGTTTTCAGATAAATGTCGGGAAGCTCACTTGCTCACTCCCCTGTTGTGGTTTCAAGAATTTCGTCTCAGTCCTCCTGATGAACATCCATTTCGGTGGCGCGGTCCTCTCTCTCGCCCTCCCTCTCCCTTCCTGCCCCCCCCCCCCCCCTGTCAATCTTCACTCATTCCTCACGTGGTTGTTAAATCTGTTCCCTTTAGTGCTTTTCTTTTCACTCTTATTGTCCTGTTTCTTTTCCCCCACTTTCTCTCGCCATTTCTCTATCCCTCCACGCACCCTCCCTCACCTCACTCTCTCCCCCTCCTTTTGGGCAACAGTAATTGTTGTTTCTTTGGGTCACTGTCTGCACTGTGCTCAAGCCTGCACACTTCTTTGAATTTTTTTTTCTCTCCTTTCTTTTCACCATCTTTGCCTTGTCCATTGTTTCACCCTGTTCTCTACATGTGATTCTCTATAAATGTTGAACAAAGGGAGGAGGAAAAACCTGTCTACTGTCTCCTTTTCCTATACGTTTTTTGGCCTAGAGTAGCTTCAAAGTGACATCACAAACACCAAATGGTTTCTGGTGCTCTTACCATGTTAATTGTTTTTCCACAAATAGTCATGGTAGAAATTGTACATTTATCTGATTTTAAAGAGCAGAGGTGTTGGCAGTAGTGATGGTGCCTCCACATTGGGGTTTAGGCTAGCACTAGCAATAAGAACACAATGCCTTTTTTAAGGGCAAAGCACAAGGTTTCATTAAACATTTGCTCATTTACTCTTATCTAGAGCCACTCGCAACAAGTTCATTCAAACAAGATATCAAATAATGGATAGGTTTTGTTTACACATACAACTAGATATGCCACAAGAGTGCACTTTAGCAGTTTACAATACAAAAAACTGAATAGCAGTGCAGCTTACATGAGATGAACATGATTTAAAAAATAAACTCATTCATAAAATAATTTCAATGTGAACATCTACCCCATCTAGTGTCTGTTTTACAGCCTAACTAATGTTGGGTTTGGGCTTGTTCTGTGTTGCATCTGATCTCCTGTAGTTGCCCGTCTTGTCCTTGATCCGGGTCATCTTGGAGCGACGGGGGGAGTGGGTTCGCAAAATGCTGTGATATCACGCAATTTATAAAATGGTCAGATAGATATAGGTCGGGCACTGATGTTGGGCGATTAGGCCTGGCTCGCATTTGGCGTTACAATTCATTCCAAAGGTATTCGATGGGGTTGAGGTAAGGGCTCTGTGCAGGCCAGTCAAGTCCTTCCACACCGATCTCTCTTTGAGGACAGACCATTTTGACACGCTTCAGCACTCAGTGGTCCTGTTCTGTGAGCTTGTGTGGCCTACCACTTTGCGGCTGAGCCGTTGTTGCACCTAGACGTTTACTCAAGTGTTTTCCTTTTATTTTGGCAATTATCAACAAAAAACAAATGTACATGGGAAATAATACACAAAGAAAACAAGCAACAAGGGCTAATGTGTGTGACACGGTGGGAGCTTTAATTGTTTGTCTTATATTATGACAGGCCAGGACATTATCTGCAGCAAGATCTACTGTCTACGTTTTACTTGCTGACATATCGTAGCCACTAGCCAGAGTTGCTGAAAATGACACCACTACTGTAACTGAGACAGTGAGACTTGCGTGATACGAAGTTGATAGTCCTATTGTAGTCAATGTTACCTGCTACATCGGCGCGTGCGTAAAGCGTAGCAGCAACGTACAATTTACGTTTTGGAGTCTATTTTTCTCGGGTCCATGCACGTAAACACCATACAAAGTGCCTGAAATTGTTTTTTTGTGTCAAAGGATTTATACCATTCACTCAGCTTCATAGTATGAAAATGTAATAGAAACATGAATAATAGTAGTAGGCTACATCAATACAATAGCAGTAGGCCTACCTGTATGAAAAACAAATATATAAACGGAACTGTAGTCTTCCTAGTTCATAATTGGAGGTAGGTTGTAATCCTATAGTATCAATGGTTTTTAGAAACTTTTACACATTCAAACCAGCTGACGAATGGAAAGGCAGTTGCAGATTGTCTTCCTTGTATTAACTTTTGAGGCAGAGGATGCTGCAGGGTAGACCCCTCCCCTTTATGTTCTGATTTGACAGGACAAAGATGTCAAAATGGATGTGTGTTTGTTCTGCCCTGCAAAGTACAGACAGCTAGCCAACTACTGATCAATTGTTGATTTAATGAATGAGGTTAATTGACTGTAGATGGTATAATATTTATTCAACTTTCAATTTTGATGTCATGAGAAATATGGTTGTCATATTGGACCCAAAGTCAATAGATTCCTGGCAGAAGATACCGAGTGCTACTGATTCCGCATCTGTTTACATCTCTGGTGTGGCAGGTAAAATGACTGCGCTCACGTCCTGTTCACATCCTGTTTGCCCACGCATAATCCCGGTGTAGCTCCTCTGGAACACCCCCTCCTGAAAAAAGCACTTGAAATCGCACTTATGTTTAAAAGCCTACTGAGGCATGAAATGCAATAGTTGGAACATATCGACCATGTCCTTTGTGTACAACGTCTGGTGTAGCCTACAAACTTCAAGGGCGTTCATCGCAGATCAAAGCGGGGGCAAAAATATATTGTATTTGTAGTAAATTCACTTCAATTTAAGGATGCACTGGTTGAATATTCTGGAATATTGTTCTTGCATGAGGAAAAACATTACTCCAAGAGACTGCTCTTCTATCAGCTTTTCCCAGTGATTCTATCCTAGGCTGTGTTCAACTGGGCAAATTGTGGAATGTTCAGATTGAAACATTATGTAGAACAAACATTCCTCTGACATGTAGAATAGGGGTCACGTCAGCTCTGTTCATGACATTTCTTTCTGCAACGTTCCACAATTACTTTAAAGGCACAACACACCCTACACAAACAGAGCGACAGAGCTTCGTATACATTCCGTTCCAAAATGTGCATCATTTTCTAAAGTGTGTAGCGGCCTTTTACTGGTCCTATAGCATCCACTTGTTTTGTAGCCTTTGAGTCTCCTTGTTGCTCAGGTATTCCCTTCCTCAGTGTACACATTCCTTTTCCATATGCACTTTACACTTTCTTCCTACACTGTGCTTTAGTGGGCTTCCAACGAGTGGCCACTCTCTTCAAATATTCCTTAGGGCTGGGCGATACAGCATAAAAAAGATTTAGTTTTTTTTTTTTTACTTCTGAGCGATTCACAATATATCTGGATTGATCTGGACTGTTTTCTGTAATTAAGCTTTGTACAATTTAAAAGTCAAATGCATTGCATTTCAAACGGTCAGCAATAATGTAATTAATTCAGGGTTTGTGAGATTATACCAAGGCTAAATATCAGCCTTCCTCAACCATAAGAAACACACATTATTATTTTATCAAAATAGTTTAGGCTGGGCCTCCCGAGTGGCAGATACGGGTTCGATCCCGGGCTGTATCGCAGCCGGCCGCGACCGGGAGACCCATGAGGCGGCGCACAATTGGCCCAGCGTCGTCCAGGTTAGGGGAGGGTTTGGCCGGCAGGTATGTCCTTGTCCCGTCGCACTCTAGCGCCAGTTGTATGGTGTTTCCACCGACACATTGGAGCGGCTGGCTTCTGGGTTAAGCGAGCAGTGTGTCAAGAAGCAGTGTGGCTTGGCAGGGTCGTGTTTCGGAGGACGTATGGCTCTCGATCTTGCCCTCTCCCGAGTCCGTACGGGAGTTGCAGCGATGGGACAAGACTAACTACCAATTTGGATATCACAAAATTGGGGACAAAAAGGGGATATATAGCGAACTTGGATTGATTTGCTAGCTAACAAGGTAGAACAGTTTAATTATGAACACACCCTTCTGTCGGTCTCCAACTGTTTGAACAGCATGCTAGCCTGTCCACTATGTTCAGATGTTGAAATCAAGTGTCCTACCATATTTCTCAGCTGTGTAGTGCTAGGGCAAAAAAACGAGATGTTCAGCCCTTGGACTCCCCAGGACCGAGTTTGGGAAACGCTGCCTTAGTGGCTAATTTAGTTAGTCTGCCCTCTTGTGGCAATTTCTTCCTCATCTTCCCACTACTCCATGCTCCGGTAATGTGACCTTTTCTGTACTCTTTGCTTATTTAGTATTTTTTGTTTAGTAGTATTATTCATTCTGTTTACTACCCTCTACTACTTTGCCTTTTCACATCCACTTGATTGATTGTCTTACTGTCTACACTTTATAGCGGTGTTGCTCAATGTGTATCCTGGGGACCAACTGTTAATGCTGGGTTTTGGATACTTATTATACTGCATTTACACAGGCAGCCCAATTTATATTGCTGACCAATCATATAAGCTCTGAAAAAAGATTTGATGTGTAAAGATCAAAAGCCCAAATAGTGGAAAAATATCAGAATTGGGCTGTCTTTGTAAATGCGGCCTTTGTATATCGGCTTGGTTCATGAAAGCAAGTTAAGCCACTGAATAGGGTTTCAAAGCCATCGGTAATTTACCAAAGTTACTGGACTCTTCAGTAAATTTGGTAATAACAGATAATCTATGGTAATTCTGGTGATTTATA